AAGATACTATCGAATTTAACCAATGGGTTACTACTGATAGATCAGATTTAGTTATACAGCTTGTAACCATACCAGATCATGTAAATATGGTGATGGAAAAACTAGTCAAGCTAACAACGCATTCATATATTTCTAAATGCCAATCTAAATATTTTAAAAATCTTAAAGAAGAACTGCCATCAGGTAGCGCAATAATTCTAGGAGATTTTGCAGAAAACTATAGTTTTGTTGTGCAGGATGAAGTACAAGGTTTCCATTGGAATAATCTTCAATGCACACTTCATCCAGTGGTTGTGTATTATAAAGAAAATCAAGTGTTGCATTCCACTTCATATTGCATTATATCAGATGATAACACTCATGATGTACCAATGGTTTACGAGGTACAAAAATCAATTATCAATAATCTGAAGCAAAAAATACCCAGCATTGTAAACGTGGTCTACTTTTCTGATGGCTGTTCATCTCAATATAAAAACTGCAAAAATATATTTAACCTATGTCAGCATAAATCAGACTTTGGAATAGATGCAAAATGGGTTTGCTTTGCAACCAGGCATGGAAAGCAACCTTGTGATGGTATAGGAGGAACAGTTAAAGGGCTTGTAGCAAATGCTAGTTTGCAGAGAATTTCTACAAATCAAATATTAAACTCACGTGATATGTTTACATATTGCACTAACAACATCAAAGGTATAAACTTTATTTTTATTTCAAGTGAAAGTTTGATAGAAACAAGATTATTACAATCTGAACGATTTAAAAATGTAAAAACAATACCAGGAACAAGAGACTTTCATGAATTTATTCCTGTATGTCATAATGAAGTTAAGATAAAATACTGCAGTGATGACACTATCCCTATCTTGACCTACAAGTTTAAAAATTGCGAGATGCAAAGTGATGTGCAAAGTTGACATGGAATTTTAATTTATGCACCAACATGGCCTTGAATCTTAAAGACATTTTCTTGCTTCCTTTTATCAATTATTACTTCGAATCGACAGTTTGCTTATGTCTATGATATGTATATGACAATATTTTGCATTTATTAAAAAATATTACCTAATTTTGTTTTGTTTTACAGTCCAAAGAAAAACAAAGGAATATTTGAAGTTTAATAATTTGTATAAAAATTTATCAGTTCATAAAAGCACAAACAATTCAAAGAGTTAATGCGTTTTGATATTTAAAGTTTATTTATGGACATGTCATGGATATTGCAGTTTTATACCTAAGTGAAAATGCCTCTTATTTTTTGACTAGCTTTGAGTAAAAACACCTGTTTTTAGTATTTAAATATTTTTAATTGAGTTTATTAAATATGCATATTGTAGTTTTACACATAAGTAAGAATTCTTACTTTCTGGTTGTGCCTAAACATAAGTACCAATCAAGCTTCTGTCTCAATCTCAATATACTTTCAATCAAAAATAAAAATTAAATTGTTTAGATTAGTAAGTCAAAAAACAGCTCAGTTTTTTGTTTTTTTGTTTAGATGTTTATATATACTTTAAGATTATGAAGTTAGGAAATATATAGATCATAACCTTTTCTGTAATTCTTTTTATAGTAAGCATGTTTACTTTTCAATTTTATTAAAAACGCCGATTTACTCTTATTGACTTATTAATAAATAAATAAAAATATTATTTCTTGGTATAATTTTATAGTTTAGCATCTAATAATATGTGGAAAATTTCAAATTATAAAACAATATATTTAAGGTAACAACGTATGTATTAGCATTTACTTGTTACTAAGGACGTTGCTAGGGGAGCATCATGAGTAAAAATGTTACTAAGTTTTAAATTTTAAACGAGCATAACTTCTAAAATATTCCGATTTGTTTAAAACAACTTTGGGGAATTCTTTTTAGCCTAGTTAAGTATCTTTGTTGCAAAAATTAAGTCATTTAGAGATAGTGGGTTATTTTTTTGAGTTTTTGTTGTTGTTTTGACACGGAATTACCCTAAGGTATATTTAATTAAGTTAAAACTAAGTTTTCATGTTCTTAGTTATTATTTTTATGTTCTTAGTGTCAATATATTTTCAAAGCCATAAGGTACTTTTTTGGCTTCTTAAATATTTACTCTTAGTTTTGCCAAAAGTAGGACTACAGTTTTTTCAAAATATATAAGAAATAAAAGTGCTATTAAAATATGTTTTTTTTATTCTGGTTAAAAATGCCTGTGGAATGTTAAAAAGTTTAATTTTATTACCTACATATATGTTTCCGCCTGTCTTTTACTCAAAAAGTGTGTCTTTATTGAAAAAAGTGCTATTTAAAATATGCCTTGAAAAATAAAAGTTTTTTATACCAACACTGTATAAATTTTATAATTGGTATGGTGTCAATTTATATAAGTTATGTAAATATACTCATTTTCCTTTCAGAAAAATTTTACTTCAAGGTTCAGATACTACAATAACATAAGAAAATTTTATTTTTAATATACCTACAACTTTAGCTAAAAATACTGCATGCTGAGTGGTCAAACCTCAAAAATTGAGCGGAGCAAAAGGGTCAAGGTTCCAAGTTAAGCCACGATTACTTAGTTTTTTTAGTGGTGCGTGTTTGTCTAAAAGAGAGTTAAAGCTACGGAAAAAGTCTTCGTATAATTTGTTTGTATTACCATTAAAAAAAATTATTTCTTTATCCCAGTTTATCTGTAAGAAATCATTTTTGAATTGATTACTATCAAGTTTCTTGAAATTTCGAAGGAAAATATTGCTTTTACGAAAATAATTTTTTTTGCTTTTAAAAGATGGATAAATTAGAAACTGTGGCAAATGATCCGATATTCTAATAGTTAGATTGGCGGAGAAAATATCTTTAGAAATTGAGTTAGAAAATATATTATTAATTAAAGTTCTTGAGTGATTTGTAATTCTTGTTGGTAAGGATATAAAAGGAAGAAAGTTGTTAGAGGCAATGGTGTTCAAATACTCCGCAATGGAGCTATCTGAGTTTGCTTTAATAAGATCTATATTAAAGTAACCCATTAAAAAGATGGTTTTATTCTTTTCAAGGAAAAGTTTTTCAAATAAAACAGCTAGATATGAAAAATTAAATTCATCAATATCCATATTAGGATGGCGATAGATACATCCTACTATGATATTAGACTTTTTAGGGAAGATGATTTCAGCAAACACTGACTCTAGGAATTGGGGTTTATACATAAGTAAATCATTTCTAGGTTTATAAATTAGTTTTTCAGAAATATAAATTAAATCTCCTCCAAATGATGTTTTGGTTGGAGTATGTTCATAAACATATCCATTAAGGTTTATAGGAACTGTCTGTAGCAAATCATATTTCAGCTTGGATGCGTTATTCCAATAACGCTGAATTCATACTAATTAGATGAGGAAGTGAATTTAATTCATCAAAATGTTTAACTAATGAAGCAATGTTCAAATGAAGAAGAGAAAAACAATTATTTGTGATTTTTTAAGAGTTAAAGTTTTTAATATCTGTAAATTTACAATTAATTGGATTGCCAACTACGTTCATATCATCATCGTCATTATTATTTAGTTGATAAGAGAAAAAGTTATTAATTTGGGAGTTCATTGAGATGTAGTATACTATCAATTGATGATTGAAGGCGAAGCTCATTATCCGATATAGAACAAAAAGGAAAGTTACTAATGTGGCATGTTATACAAAGCCAAAAATTTATGGAAGAGTTTATTGAAGATCTAAAATCAATTTTATTCAGAGAACATTTATTATGGAATGAATTTAAACAGTGTTTACATTGAAACGAAAGATGGTTAGCACGAATATGTTTATTACAAATTTTACAAAGTTGAGACATAGTAGAAATTAGTTTATAAAGTAAGCTATAGATATAAATAAGATTATGAGTAACTTAAACAACAATAAAATAGCAGTAGAGAATATACTAAAATATAAAAATGATGATAATTAAGATAATAATACTAATAAATACATATAATAAAATAATGAGTACAAGAATAATAATAATCATGACAATAATAACAATAGTGACAGCAGTATACAAATAACAGCAGTAGCAATATGTAATAAAAATAAAAATATGAATACTGTAATTATAATCAACGCTCAATAATAAAAAGTACGATAATAAAACTAATAATAAAATAATTTATAATATGTATAAGTAAAAAATATATAAGTAAAAAAAAAAAAAGGAAACGAATAAGCTAAAAAAGAAAAAAAAAGTTAAAGTAAATACAATACAATTTCAAATATTAGCGCAAAAAGTAATGCTTTGTAAACTTCTTTCCAACTTTAAACTTCTATCTTTCAAACTTTAAACTTCTTTTAGACTTTCTTTCAGACGGGATTTTTTCTTTCAAATGATTATAAAAGTTAATAACAAAAAAAGTTTTTTTTAAAAGTTCGAATTTCTTTAATACTTTTTGTTTCTTTATAGTAGGTATTTCGTCGCTCAAATTCTTATCACCTTTTTAAATTTATATTATTTGCATTAATATCAAATATCTTAATCTTTAATTAAATTTATAAATTCTCTTTTTTTATTTAAATAATTTACTGCTTTTTTCTTTTTTTCTTTTTTTTCTTTTTTTTTTTCTTTTCCTTTTTATTATCTGTTACACATCCCCCATCCGCGAAAACCTTGTAATGAATGATTTGTGAATCTGGTTTAAATAATGGAGAGCAATTTTAATCTTTGTGAGTTACCTGGACATTTGTGATTAATTTGTAAATTCTTAAATAATATAAAATTTAACTTACATAAATTGATTTTATTTGAGGTTTAAAAATATTTAATAAAAATAGTTACTTAAATAACTGTTAATTTATTATTATTATTATTTTTTATAGTTTGCATCATTCATTATATAACATTTTCAGCATATTTATCTTTGATTTTTCATTATTATTTTAATATTTAAACATTAAAAAAATTATTTGTTTGATATATATATAATATTTTTTAAATAGGTTTTTATTTTTTGTAATAATCTTTTGTACTATATAGTCCTAATTTGCTACTGTTTGGTTTGATTGCTTCTATTGGCTTAATAATTGCTCTTGGAATAAAAAGAAAAGATTCCCCAACTAATTTTTATCTGCTCGCTGCTTTTGTAAGTTTTTTTTATTGAAATATATTTATATGATAGATATTTTGTATATCAAACTTAAGTAATGTTGTTACTTAGTATTTATTATATAGTTTAGTATTAATTTTTTTTTTAATTATATGGTTTTTAAAAATTTCAAGCAAATATTTTAGTTTTTAAAACCCTTTTTAAATTTATTTCATAAAAATTTTAACGTAAGAGTTATTTTAATGCTTATAGAAACCAGTACTTTTCAATACACTATTAAATTTGAGTAATCATGGTTGTTTTTGCGCTAAAAATGATCGCTATCGCTATAAAAAAGTTTATAAAATTAATCCTAGAAAAGATTTATAAAAAATACATATTTATATAAATGTAATATACTCTGATAATTTAAATAAATTGTGTTTATTGTAAACATTATAATTAATTTGTTACTCTATTTAATAAAGTAATAAGTAAACATAATAATTTATGTATTTAATATATTTACATTGTAATTGATGTATTTAATAATTTTGTATTTTTATTATACATTTTTATTACATATTTAATTATGTATTTAATTACATAATTTGTGTACTTAATATATTTACGTAATAATTTACAAAGTATTTTGCGTAATATAGTAATTTTTAAAATAATTATATTTATGATGAAAATAGTATAAAAAAGGAAAAAAAAACCAGCAAAATGAGACCCCGTAAGTGTCGACTAGGATTGTATTTTCTAACCAACAAACATTAAGAACCAGACCCTCAAGTTGATTAAATTTTTTTATTAAGTATATCTAATAAATTGTTTTGTAGTTGTCTTCTAAACAGTTTTTTAACTTTATTTTTCATAATGTACTAATTTAAAAAAAAAGTATAGTGGTTGGAATCCAGCCCACAAAGTTTATTTAAGTATTAAAAAATTATATTTTTCTATAACCATCAAAATAATTTCTTTTTTAAAAAATCAGTGAGTTTTACATACAGTTTCTCAATTATTATTTATGATTCTATTTCCATAACTTAGCTATTTGGGCCCACTGTGCGCATATGGCTATTTTAATATGACATCATCGATGACTTTCATGCACAGCTAAATTTACATTGATAATTGTATGTAAACAGTGGAAGCTTCAGTACATAATAAGTGTTTGGATTCATATAATCTTTGTATGAAGGACATTTAATACAGCGGTCGGGGATCGGGAATTTATAGCACGTAACAGCTAAATTTCAAAGAATAAAAAGATAAGATTTGACAGTTAAATGTGTTAACTTTATGCTATTTACCGGCAATAGCAATGCTCACTTGAATCAGGCAGGGAACCCCCAAAGCTAAGATTGACCTTGTCCTAATTCTGGCTGAATCTAGACAGGTTTAATGTTAGCTTTGGGTTTATATTTACCATTAAAATATTATTATACCTTTAAAAATTCAATTCATAATAGTAAAAATAAAAAATAATTGATAAAATTAGATATTCCTCAATAATAATATTTAAAATCAAAAGAAAAAGAGATACAATTAATCCCATGATATAATAATTATCTATATATTTAGTATTTAAGTGAAATTTTTTACTGTAAGTGATTTTTTAAAAGAAATTTTTTCTGGATAGTTTTTAAGTCAGTTTAAAGTTACAAACCAGTTTACTTATAAATAATATAATTACTTTTATAGGTTTTTAATATTATGTTAATAATATTATATATAATCTGTTTGGTTTTTGATTTGATGATAGTAATGAAAAATAGTTTTTGTTTGTCAATTTTGTGAACTCTCCAGTTCCATTTGGTTTGTCAAATTTGTCAACTCTCTAGTTTATATTTGTTTAGACCTTAATTGAAGCATACACTGTTGGAACCATTGGTGAGTAAAATAATTTTATTTTTTATATAAGTTTATCACTGAAAGTCTTTTTGTTTGAAAAAAAATTGACAGTTTTTTATAAAAAAAAATTATTTTTAAATTTTATAGTTTCTAGTGAAAAAATTTGTAAAATTAATTTTTACTATTTATTTAAAATATTTTAAATTTTTTTTTGAGGCTTGAGTGACAAGTCTCAAAAGAAAAATCACTTTTTTAGGGAGGCCAAGAGTCTCAAAAGAACCTTTTGGACTTGTTTTCATGCCACATAGGTTTGGCTATAGTCAGTTACTACATTAATACAGTGTGTGCTGTGACAGCTGTCTGGTATGAATGTGTGGCACCACTAGCTTTTTATGAATAATACCAATTGATCAGATTCTGTTTTAATATTTTGAATATTTCAAAATCAACCAGCTACCAGCTGTTCTAGTTTTTGATATCTGTGCCCCAAATCCTAAATGTCATTTCTAATTTATATACTGAGATTTTAATCAATTTACTGTATTTCCTTTTGACTGAATTTTCAACCTATTTATTTTTGATTGTCAGTTATTTCTATTGAATCAAAAAACCACATCTGTTTGATATGTATTTTGTATATGAGTTTGTATCAATAAAGCACAACCTGAATATTCTGAAAAACTTGAGAAAAGGGTTCCTTTTAATTAAGATTGTCCTTGCCCAAACTAAACCCTCAGTCAACTTAAATACAATTTGTTGTGCATAAAGCATCTAATAAAAAAGGTTAAATATTGATAATATTGATTAAATGATTTATAACTTATTTGCATTTTCTAGATCTAATTTATAAATTAAGTTATAATCAATTTAAAACAAAAGAGGAGAAAATCTACGAAGAGCTTTCAGTTGATATACAGACATTATTGTTAAGCCTGGAAAATCTCATTATAAGATTGAAAATTGGAAACATTTTAATAAACAACAGATGCAAATCATTGCTGCTATTTTTGAGTCTTTTGGGAGTGCCTAGATTGCAATATCTGTAACTATAACTCCAAGTTAGACCCAATGTCTAAGCCAGACCCAGACCATAGGCTCTAAATCTGAGCCTATGAAAAGATTTCAATACCATCTCTAGGATGCTTTCAGCTGTCTAGCAAGAAAATATACCACTGCCATCCAGGAATTATTGGAGCAATAGTTTGGTTTTTCAAAGTTGCTGGTAAGATTATTAGCTTTCTGGCTTAGAAATTATGATTTTTTTATTGGCAGATGGCAGTCTATTTCTGGTAGTTGCAGTATAGCATGGTGTCATGTTTACATGGTTTCATAAGGCACTAATTTCCATTCCATTTTAATTCCAATTTAAATTCCATTAAAACACTATTTTCTATCAATTTGATTTTCAATGAAGTTGCTAAAATAATCAGCTGGCTCAAAAAATTCAAGATTATTATTAAACATACTGATGTAAACTTAGTCAAATAAATTTGCAGCCTTTATCAATGGAAAATTTTCTCTATTGTATATTTAATTTTACGACTTAAGAACTTTTACCCAACACAATCTTAATTGTAAAAAGCATTAAAATAATGGATACACCACTAATATTGTCGGTGTTACAAGCTGTTCTTTTACTAATAATAATATAGAAAACCCTATAGCTTATGTAAATTCAGGCTTTTTGTTTTACTCTCTATACAAGTGTGCTATCTTTTCTTACTACTTGATAAATCAAGACGCTTTCAGAACATTGAGTGCACAATGACAAGCACAACAACAGGTATAACAGACTCTGACACAATTACAAGAAAGAGCTGAATATGCTAGTAATAGCCAGTGAAGCTATGTTTGCAACAGTGTTCATTGTTCAACAAGCTTTTTTGACAATTGCTGCGTATATGAAATATGAATAATCAAACTTATCAGTATATTGAAATACAACCATGATACACACCTACAATGAGTGTCCCTACTTCCATGCGTTAATGCGTTAAACTTGTTGGGGTCCTCAGGTTGCATGCTTGAGGCTTTTCAATTACAATAAACAGAATGAACAATATATTCCGTGTGGGAGTCTAGATCTGATATCTTATGGAAGCTTCTTCATTATAACTTGACAATTGACTAGATTAATTTTTATACAAAACTAGACCCCCTGAAAGTTGCTTTAAAGGCCAATTTATATTAAAGGCCAATTTATAGGCCAATAGATAGTCAAGAATTTACTTGCTTTTGCACAACATAACTGTTTTAGCTGATTCTAAAACAATTATGTTACTGGCGATTCTGATTTTGCCATTAGTACCAAATACTACCTTTTTAAATAAATGCAGTTAATTTAAATAAAGTATTTAAATAAATCTGCAGATGAAAATAAAGTAATCTGCATGTTATAAGTAGCCATCTTGAGAGTCCTTGCTGCTAGTTGTTTGAATGTCATGATTGTAAATTTTAATACAAAGTCATTTTTTAGATTTGTGAGAACTAATTTTGTAGACATTTATAGTTGTGGATACTATTATTATATTCATCAAACTTATCCTTATCAACCTTTAATAAAACTAAGATTGAAAAAAACGTCTAAAATCACCAGAAAATATTAGATGTTAAATCAAATGTTGGGTGTTAAAAATGGGGTGTTAAACACTGAATGTAATCTTACAATGCACATCTATCTAGGTAAAACTAAGGTTCCTGTAGTGTTTCACAATCTTAGTGAATATGATAAACACTTGACCAGTATGAGAATGTAGACAACCATGTCTAATTTATCAAAAACTTTTTCACTAAAAGAAAAAATTTATTAAAATTTGTTTTGTGAAAAAAATCAGAGATAATGAATAAAATTCTTTGTAACTGTCATGATGATAATGATGATTATCATGATGATGATTATCATATGGTGATGATTATCATGATGATGATGATTATCATGATGATGATGATTGTCATGATGATGATGATTATCATGATGATGATGATTGTCATGATGATGATTATTATTATGATGATGATGATTATCATGATGATGATGATTAATGAATAAAATTCTTTGTAATTGTCATGATGATGATGATGATGATTATCATGATGATGATGATTATCATATGATGATGATTATCATGATGATGATGATTATCATGAAGATGGTGATTATCATGAAGATGATGATTATCATGATGATGATGATTATCATGATGATGATGATTGTCATGATGATGATGATTATCATGATGATGATAATTGTCATGATGATGATGATTATCATGATAATGATGATTATCATGATGATGATGATTGTCATGATGATGATGATTATCATGATAATGATGATTGTCATGATGATGATGGTTATCATGATGATGATGATTGTCATGATGATGATGATTATCATGATGATGATGATGATTATTATTATAATGATGATTATCATGATGATGATGATTATCATGATATTTTTCTCTAAGCCAATGTGACTATTTTTAACCTAAATTGATACTTGTTGAATGTTGAGGGACATCATGCTAAAAAAGATTAAAGTCTAACTAGACAGACTTACAGATGTGTTTCTATTCTTTGAGAGAAGACTATGCTGT